AAAAAATTTAAATATTAAAAAAATTAGTAAAAATCTTCGCAGGCAAATTTGCCTGTGTTACAATTTAAGGGATAATAATGTATACATAGGTGTAAAACACCAAGATGCATTTTAGTAAAAGTCTTTATTAATATATATTTATTGTTTTAAATAGATAAATAGAGTTCATATGTCTAAATAATTCTAGGATTAAGGATAATGGATATGAATATAGGTTATCCGGATATACTGAATGAATATTCGGATTAACTAATAAAACAGATGCAAATAGCTAGTTAATAAACATGGAAATTTCAATAACTTCTGGGTTCTATTGATACTACTAGTTTAGAATATAACTTACAATATGTTTATAAAAAAACATTTCTTTTAGATATAAGTGTTATTTATAGTCAATTATCACATGTTAATATATTTGACCAATCATAAATTTATGTGATCAATTATGAAAAAGTTAATTTATAATCTTAATTGATCATCGTGCATTAATTATTTATTACTTAGTTAGTAAAAAGCTTATTAAGTATAACATTATTGATCAACATATAAATAAATAGAAATTGGTAATTAAAATAGTCTTTCTCTCTCTCTTTTTCATACAAGTAATAAAAAAATAAGAAGTGATTATTGAGGATATTACTTAACTTCCGATTTCTCTTACAATGACTTATACGCGCACTTTAAAATGTAAAGTTACTGTTTATCTGAGTAGAGTAAGACGTTCTCGCTTGTTAAAGAAAAAACAAGCTAAACTTGTATCGAACAGTTTTCAAGATGTTTCGGCAAATAGCGATCTTAAAGAAAGTAATGATAACTTTGAAGACGTTTTAACAAGCAATGATGATGATCTTGAAGAAAGAAATGAAAATGTCTATTACTGTGAAGGCAATAACGAAGATAAAGATTTTGAAGCACTAGTTAATAACAATAGTCTTGAGTACAACAATACAGACGATTACCTCGAAGAAAGTAGCAATGACTTTGAAAGCATTACATTCCACAGTGACAGTCTTGAAAGCAGTAATGATGACCTTGAGGACAGTACCAATGATTGTGAAACTAGTAGTGATGATGTTTTAACCGATTATGATAATAATTATGAAAATAATAGTGATGATGTTTTAACCGATGATGATAATTTATCCGCTCAAGAAATAGCTGATGGACTATCGTCCTTCGAGCTATTTAATAGCAAATATGGGCTATACTTTGCAAATTTTACTGAACAAATATTTTTTTTGTGGGTTACTAAACACATGATATGTAAGTAACTTACTATTACTTTATATATAGCATTTTGATATTGTACAACATCTATGTTAATAAATTGATTTAAAATAATTTTTTTAAGCCACAAAGGCATATGAAGACCTTATAGTAATTATCAAACATCCACAGTTTCAACCTCTTCATCAGAAAATATAAGATGCCTTAGATCACAAAGAATTAGAATGCCTCTACTTACTATAAAAAGTCACACTATTTCTATTAATAATCGAAAGATGGCCTCTACATCAAAGCCAACCAAACTTGCTTATACTATTTCAATAAAAGAGCATCTTAATCAGATTTTGAATAATTCACGGCTGATGGCAAAGATATATTTTGGTCATGGCATTAAATGTCAAGAAAAATCAGAACTATGGCATGGCAATATCTAGTAGCGCTCTCCCTTGTATAGAGATACTACCATTAATATAAATAATAGTAAGGTGCTTTTAATAAATTTGATAACTATCTGATTGGCTAATAAATTTAATTTAATATTATTTATACAGTTTGAAGCACTTTTTAGAAAAAATAAAAATCACAAAGAATAAAAAAAAAGAAACATATAAAAAGTTTTATTAGGATTGTAGAACTCCATTATTAAGAATAAACTCAATCAATTTCGGTTTTAGAGAAGTTAGCATAATATGTAACAACTTCTTAAAGATAGGTTATTACCATGCTAACTTCTCTAAAACTAAAATTGATTGAGTTTATTTTTAATGGTGGCATCCAAGTCGATAATGTTCTCCACCATTATTCATTCCCGAAATATCTCCATATCAGCAGATTTCTTAAACACATGAATGCCTTATGTTCATCCTTTTCAACTCCAATTCCATTAAGATAACAATATCCAACGAAAAACTTTTATATGTTTCTTTTTTGTTTATTATTTGTAGTTTTATTTTTTCTAAAAAGTACTTTAAACTGTATAAATAATGTAAAATTAAATTGAATATATTAGTCATTTAGATGAACTTCTGTCTATGAAATTGTGAGTATTAATATAAGTGTTATTAATATACTTAAAATTTTGGTTTAGTCGAATACACTATTGGACAGTTTGTAGAGTTTATCTACACTAATAGTAATAATTAATGCGAAAAGAGATTCAGAAGAATAGAAGCTATTGTTTCATTCTTGCCACATAATTGTCCATATAACCAAATACAAACTGCTTTTAAAATATCAAGACTTTTAAGACATAATAAGTTAGGAATTTATTGTAGTCAAGAGAGAAGTCATAGAGGACACAAAGAGCTCTGGATGATCGAAGAAAATTATAAAATTATTCCACCTAGTTATGTCTTAAGACATATTTCAGTATGGATTGAAGATGTATCTCAGCCTGCTTCTTATAATTTTTACATATCTGAAATTCTATACAAAGACGCTATTACCAAGTGAATTAAAATCTGACCAGTAAATTTACAGCACCATCATCCTTGTAAATATGTTCCTGTGTCAAACCTGTATATAATGCCCTTTCAAAATATGAAAGTATTCAAGTTTATGATTGACATTTATAATGACGACTTTGGCACTTTTTGTAATATTTATTACTCATTAGGCGGTATTTATATTCAAATAGGCAATATGCCTTTTAATCTAAGAAAACAATTAAAAAACCACTTTGTGGTTGGATTCATACCATTTGGGGTCACTTTGATAATGTAATGCGTTCTCTGCTTGAGGAACTTTATCAATTAGAAAAAGGTGTTATGATGAAAATAGATAATAAACCAGTTTGGGTTATTGCTTCTATTAGACTGGTAATAGCTGACTTACTTCAGGGAAACGACCTAGGTGATACTAAAAAGCAAGGCGCTCTTTATAGATATTGAAGTTGTTTAGTTTCTAAAGATCGATTGACTGATAATACATTTGATATAATACATCATGCACGTTTTCATCATATTACTATAGAACACTTTATTAAATTGCAGGTATAGATGACATTTTTTATGCATATTTGTTTTTTTTTTTTTGTCAAAATTAATTCATTAGATTAACAGCTTTTTTTTAGCTTTACCTATTATTATTATCAATATTTAAGCCTAGTGATGTGCCATTTATATGATACCCGAAAAATTTTAGCATATAGTATATACAGTACGTACTGTACGTATAGTTCCTTTTCTGGCATTTGATTTGCTAGAACAAGTAATCAGCAAAAATTTTAGCATACAGTACATACAGTATATACAGTACTGTACGCAGCATATCACTATTTAAACCATTTATGAACAAGTTAAAAAAAAAAATTCTTTACTATAATTACAGGCATTAATAGACCGAAATATAACAAAAATGGAGATTGAAGACTTTACAAGATGCCAAGGTATTCGATCAAAGCCGGGCATTTTATTAACTTTATCACGTGATCATCATTTGTAGATACTCCAAAATACCTACCATGCAGTTGCTGGCAAGGTTCAAAGATTATTAGATTGTACTTTAAATTTGTTAAATGGAAATGAAAAGAAGTAGTTTATAAAATACTGGAAATATTTCAAAAAACCATCAACTTAGCATCGTTTGCCTAACCCTGTTACTCATATTAAAAGTTTTATGTTCTCGGATACATTACAACTTACTATGCTAATGCTATTTATTTTAAAACGTTTTTTAACACCAGATAATATTAATTCAACTAATCTCGCAGCCTTATGTGACCATCTATTATCTAACAGAAGGCGATCTACAAAGCAAGTCATTAATGTTATTATATCATGTTGAGTAACCGTATCTAATGTTGCAGCACATTGTTTTAAGCTAAAGATGACTCAAAGTGATCTAAATCATCCTTATTGAAGAATGTCGTATATTAATAGAAGTATTATTAATTTATTATACTAATTTGTTTGATGCAATATATTTAAATCAAATGTTTTATATAGTCTTTTTTTTTTTTATATAAAGCTATTTCCTGATGATTTTAATAATTTACCAAACCTTCATATCAATTTTCATTTGATGCAAAATTGTAAAAATTATGCAACCTTGGTCAATTCAAATTGTGCTGTCAAAGAAATGGTCTATAAACTTTTTAAACAAGCCATTCTCAAAACCAATCGAAAGAATATTGAGTTTGACTTGATCCAGCGAACTAACGTTTTACAAACTATTCGGTATTTAACCGATAGTGGAACTGATGATCGATTTAATCAAAGTAATGTTGGAAGTGGTTTGAGAAGTATTGTTACAGATCAACGGCTTTAACCACTTCTCACGGGATGGTATATAACTGAAGATTTATATCCAAAAAGCATTTTTGAAAAGGGTATTTTGATTCATATTATATGTTTATCTTAATATAATTTATATTATACATTTATCTTTAATATACATATAATAATAATGCTTTTTAGATATGGGTATAGTTTCAGAAGATGCATGAATTATCAACATTCGGGTTCGGCAACAACTAACTTGTGATGAGATTCAATCTTTACAATTGACAGATCAAATTGATGATAACTCTATGCTAAAGAATAATCTCTTTGTAGCATATTCTGAATACATGAAGCAGCATAGACATATAAATACACGTTCTATTAAAATTTATCGATAGATTCAGTATACACTTTTAGATGACAATAGGGAATTTTATACTTATATCAAACTTCACATTGGTGATGTCGTGATTATAAAAGAGGAAGATAATGAGTCTTATGCAATTATTAGAGCAATTTTTACGCATAAATATAATAATAGACTTATTTATGCCTTTGTTTAGATCGATTGGCTAAAAAACACCAAGCACACTGATAATCTTTTAAAGTGCCCAATCTTTAAGAGACAAACAGAGTTTGATACAAGATGGTATTATATTTATCCGATTTTGATTCTTACCAATGTTCTAAGAGTTTATTTTGTACATACATGCCGATCCTCTTGTTCAGCTAATTCTCATGATAACACCAATGCCCAATATTTTATAAACAATTTTTTTTATAAGACGGTTTAGTTATACCAGAAATGAAGTGATATGCAATATTACGAAGTAATGGTTACTATAGCAAGTTAAGTGATATGCGTCCGCAAAATCTTATAATTGGACAATTCATTAAATGCAATGAAAATGAGAATTTCTGCATTTAAACATCACAATATACATACATAGTACTATATTTATATATTCTATGAGATTTGGTTAACCATACAGCAGGTTTTTGTTTCGACTAAATGCATGACAATCATTTATAAAATGAGTTTTTTTTTTATTTTAGCTATTAAAATTACTTTAGCTATTCAAGATCTTATCACTAGTTCAATTTTTGCTTTTTAACTTATTTATACCCAAATTAACCAAAATTAAGCATCTTTATAAAAAAAAAAGATGCTTAATTTCAGAATGGCATGGCATTTAAACTATACATTTTTGTTTTTTTTTTATTTGCATTATGTTTATATCTAATGATCATTTAAGTATTGCAAATCGAAAAGTTAAGTTTTCATCGTAACGAATTAGCCCAAAAAGAATTTATAATTCGTTACATATAGTATAAATGTTCAATATCATGTATTATTTTAATATTTTTATTTAATTATAGTTATAGTAAATACCATATAAATAATAGAAAGACCTGGTCATCAATTGTATTGCAATTCTGAAGCTAAATTTATTACCTTGAAATCTTAAATTTTTACTTTCGAGTTTTTACTCTGCAGCATATAATTATTAATTAAAGTCTTCAAAAATTTTTTTTTACTTAATCAATTTCTTACTCATATAGATTCAATAGTTAAGTATAATAGGAGCTTCTAAGTAATTTATTTCGAAAATAAGTGAGTTTAAAAATCCCTATTTTTAAAATTCTGAAATCAGAAAACTAAGTAAAGCATACAAATATGAAATTTGGATTTAAAGATCGTTCAACTAGAAATACGCAAATACATTACTTATTTTATCCGAAATCAGGTGAGTATCTGTCATGGTCCCCAATAGTCCTTTATTTAAATTAATCAGAACCACTACGATTTTTTGATCTTTCCCTTTTACGACGTTCGTATATTTTTCAAGAAACAGAGTTATATAGTTTTTATTTTTAAAGGTCTTATACGTGTTTATTTACTTATTTATGCGTGAGCAAATAATCGGATACTTGTATTTATTTTATTTTTTCCTTGAGCGAAAGAGAAGAACTCTCTCTTTTTTCTTTTATTTTTCATTCCTCTTATATATATATTTTGACTCAAATTAATTACATCGGTATTTACTCTCTGATATTAAACTTCTTAATTACATAATGATTTGGTCATATAGAATTTAACTCTTATTCTTAATTACAGATATCTTATGCACCTTAAGTGATTCTTAATAGATTTAACCAATTTGCATAATTGCCCCAAGTAATAAAGTACCCGTGACTTGATCGGTGGCACACGTGTTTACAAATTCGTTGAAACCCCTTTTCTCTCTTCCTTTTTTTTTTTTTTTTAAAAATGTTTACCTTTATTCTCTTCTTTATTCGAACTCTGCTGTTATTGTCACTCCCCTCACTATATACTTCGAGAACCACATTTCGCCAAAGAACCGATCCAGCCCATGACAGTATCTTTAATTATGAAACCCCAAACATAGCAATTATCAATCGAGCATCTCATTTAACTTTTATTCATATTAGTGTAGCAATTATTTATTGATTTAGATATTTAATATGAACCGCTACACTTCTCATTTAGTTTGTTTATGCAGATTAGTATGGTATGAGGGTGTGAAATACCCTATTTAAAGTTGTACCGAACTGATCCAGTGTTATATATTATTAGAGATATAGGTGTTAGATGAAACCAATAATATTATCGTCTTATATTGGTATTATTATTTTTTTTGCGCTCTGGCCTTGTGTTACCAGAGCACATTAAATCTCACATATAAAAAATGATCTGCAATTTTTATAATTAGCGGCTGCCTTTTCAACTGGTTTGTAATATAAATTATTAAAGTAAAACGTGATAACCAACTAAAAGATCAGCAAAAAATAATTAGTAAAGCAGATGATTGATAGACAAAGATGGTTTGTCCAATTAACCATGAAAATTTTAATTACTGACTGCCTTTTTTTAATTATCGACTGCTTTTTTATCGGCTTGAAACCGATTATAAAAAACGGTTAATTGAAATGTCCGTTTAAATTTTTTTTTAGCAAATCTCATTAATGAGAATGCTTGAGAGCACCCTTAACTACTAGCAAATGATATTTAAAAATTTTATTATTTAAGGTGTGAACGAAAATTATTAGAACGATTATGTAAAGATTAGTATGTATTAATTTAGTAGGGATTGTAGATTAGAGTGAATGAAGTTAAATTAGTTTTTTTTTTTATTATAGGAGAGCGAACAAAGTTAAGTAAGTTTTTTTTATTATGGGGATAGAATGAACGTATTAATTATATCTGAGAAGTTTAGTAAATTTAATAGATTAGAGCGAACAAATTATAGATTAGAATAAATATATTAATTATATAGGCAATAGATAAGAGCAAACAAAGTTAAATGAGTTTTTTTTATTATAGAGGCTAGAATGAACGTATTAATTATATCTGAGAAGTTTAGTATAGTCAATAGGAGCTATAGATTGGAATGAATGTTATATAGACAGTAGATTTAAATAAGTTTTTTTTTTATTATAGGGCTAGAACGAACGTATTAATTATATCTGAGGAGTTTAGTATAGTTAATAGATTAGAGCGAACAAAGTTAAGTAATTTTTTTTTATTATAGGGGCTATTAATTATATCTGAGAAGTTTAGTATAGTCAATAGATTAGAGCAAACAAAGTTAAGTAAGTTTTTTTTATTATAGGTCTATAGATTAGAATGAATGTATTAAAGTATAGTCAATAGATTAGAGCGAACAGTAAGTTTTTTTTATTATAGGGGGCGAACAAAGTTAAGTAAGTTTTTTTTTATTATAGAGGCTATTAATTATATCTGAGAAGTTTAGTATAGTAATAGATTAGAGCGAACAAAGTTATTATAGGGGCTAGAATGAATGTATTAATTATATCTGAGAAGTTTAGTATAGTAATAGATTAGAGTGAACAAAGTTAAGTAAGTTTTTTTTTTATTATAGGGCTATAGATTAGAATGAATGTATTAAAGTATAGTCAATAGATTAGAGCGAACAGTAAGTTTTTTTTATTATATTAATTATATAGGCAATAGAGCGAATAAGTTAAGTAATTTTTTTTTTATTATAGGGGAACGTATTAATTATATCTGAGAAGTTTAGTATAGTCAATAGATTAGAATGAACAAAGTTAAGTAAGTTTTTTTTATGGCTAGAACGAACATATTAATTATAACTGAGAAGTTTAGTATAGTCAATAGATTAGAGCGAACAAAGTTAAGTAAGTTTTTTTTATTATAGGGGCTATTAATTATATCTGAGAAGTTTAATATAGTAATAGATTAGAGTGAAGTATAGTCAATAGATTAGAGCGAACAAAGTAAATTAAGTTTTTTTTAATATAGAAAGCAAAGTTAATTACGTTTTTTTGAATGAAGAATAGATTGATATTAGGGTAAGTTTTATTTAATTAGTGGGGTTATAGATTAGAACGATGAATTAGTAGTTTTTTTTTTGGAATGTATGATAAGTTTAGTAAGGGTTGTAAAGTAGAACGATAATAAGGATAGCTTTTATTTATTATTTTTTATGAAAAAGTTAAATAAAATATAGTAAATATATAGATAAATAAATAATAATATGTAATATAGAATAATCTTATTGGTTAAATTATTTGTTCTTTATTATTTTAAGGGTAGAGATCATTTTTAATAGTGATCACGTTGTAATCATATGAAATCAGATGATCGACCAATCAGGATTGTAAACAACATTGATTTGGCCAATCAGAATCGGCAATTTTTGTGTGACCTAAGGAAATTCGAGTTGATCTAAGTTTTTTTTATCAATATACAAAGGTAAATTTTTTTAAATGATACAGAGTTTAAAATTTTACTATTACAAATATGAAATATCAAATTATATACCATGAAATTTTGGTAGATATTTGGCCATAATTCTAAAAAGTTTTATTAGAAGCATATTTTAGCTTTCTATATAAAATTTTGTTGTATCACATAAATCATATGAAAATTGATCTACGTTCACCCTACCCTTAAAATATAAATAGAGTCTAAATTTTATTTTTTTCGTTAAAGATGACAAATTATTTTTGGAATTAAAATTTTTTATCATTTAAAATACTTACTGATTAGATGTGTGGAAAGAAGAAAAAATATGGAAAAAATATTAAAAATCAAATTCGTTTAATATCAATTGATAAAAAATCATATCTTGAAGTAAAAGTTTCAACTAGAACTTTTATTTGTGATATTAAAAATTATAATATTGTTAAAAAATATAATTGGACTTTATAAAAAACTCGAAATAATTATTATGTTAAAACTAATATTAAATGAAAAGTTAAATATTTTCATCAAATAATAAAATCTGATAGTTTTTTTATTCATCGAATAAATAATTATACTTTAGATAATAGAGAATGTAATTTAAAATATTCTAAATAATATAATTTAATTATTTTTTTTGGATTTAATATTTTAGTGCACTCTGCGCCATGGTGCACCTCTATAGCAAGTTCTTAGATAAAGATTAGTTAGAGTTAGGGTTAGAGTTAGAGTTAGGGTTAGATTAGGGTTATGTAAAATTGCGAGAGAAGCATTTTTACTTAGTTACACGACAGAGGGTTACCCTAGTAAAATTTTGAGATATAGCAAATTTTAAATAAAGTTACGATTAGTTAGGTTAGGGTTAGGGTTAGAGTTTAGGTTAGGGTTAGGTAAAATTGTGATAGGAACATTTTTTGTTAGTTACACGACAGAGATTATCCTAGTAAAATTTTGAGATATAGCTAGAGTGCACCAAAATTTTAAACCCTTTTTTTTTAATTTGTATAAATAAATTAAATAAATGATAATTATCATAATTACAAACAACAAGTATTAGTAATTTAATATATTTTTAATAATATAACTGTATTATAGTATTGAATTATAGAATTTTATAAATATTATGTTTATCAAGTTTATGAAAAGAATTAATTTCTAAATTTAGAAGATATCTTTCAATATCCAAATTTTGTTGTAATCTATTATTAGTTTTTTTTTGTTTTAAATTTTCTAGTTTATAAATTTCTTTACATAGTTTAATTAGTTTGTTATTTTGTTTGTTTATAGTACTCTTCATTTCATCAATAATCTCTTATTGGTGTATTATTTTATTTTTAACTCTAACATATTCAATATTTTTAAATAAACATCTGCGGCAAGTTTTATTATCACATCGCTTCCGCCGATTTCTACATCTAGACAAGAAATCTTTGTATATTTCTTTTGACATTGAGGCATGATTTGATTGGTTAATAAAAATATATAAACTATAGATTTTCTTTCTGTTTGAAAAAAAAACTAAATGGGTGGACAACAATTTTGTCACAATTGCGCAACAAGTTTTTATTGTATTCCTTGTAAAAAAAAATTTAAATATAAAAAGAATTTATCAAAGAAAGATAATAATATATGATTTATATATTTATTTTTATATATTAATTTTTTTTATTTGTAATAGATAAAGAAAACCGTAAACTAGAATTCCAAATATTAGGAGTGCCTAAATATACTCTTTGTAATCTACAATATTGGTATTGTAAAGATAAAAATTGTACAAATTGTTGTAATTTAAACAAATGTAATCAAATTGAATATAATTATTGTAAACAAAATAATAAAGACTGTATACGTTCGTTGCCAACAAATGAAGCAGCATATGATGAAATTAAAAATGATATATCTTATATTTGTGGGCAATATGAGGTTACTGGTTTAGATAAACTTCATGCTCAAATATATATGCAATTTTTTAAACATCAAATATTAAACCAAATAAAAACTATATTTAATGATGATTCTATGTCTTTTCTAATATTTCTTGCTGGAAATTCAGATCAGAATCGTGCTTATACAATGAAACCATATAATTGATGTAAAGTTTATTCACATTGTAAATGTGATTATTCTAACCTATCAAAAATATATAAACACTGTACAGAATCTTGTATTCGTTCATATGCAAAATTTGGTGATGATAACCTACCTTCATCTATAATTGGTCTATTTGAATTTGGAACCTACCGATACTTAGAAGGTTCTAATAACACAAATGCATCAGAAGATATAAATGACTTAAGATTAAATAATATAAAACGAATAATAGATATTTGTAATCAAGATTTAACATATGAAGAAGTTATTCTAAATAAGGAAAAAACACTGGTAGTTATGGAAGATAAAAAAAAATTATAAAAAAAATAAGGGGAAACGTTTTTGGAGACCAATTACATTTTATTGTTATAGACCAGGTAGAGCAAGAAAAACTGGTTAGATTTTAGAGTTATTTCGTGATGAATTGTATGACAAACCTAAAAACAAAGATCTAATAGTTCTTATTGGAATGGATATTGTGGCCAAGAAATAGTATTGATTGATGGATTTTATACTAAAATAGATTGGAATGAAATGGTTAATCTATTAAATGATTCATGTTTCGAAGTAGAACATAAGTATAGTGGATTTGAACAATTTTTAGCAAAATATGTGTTTTTAACTGCTACACGACCACCTGAAGTAGCATACAACTTTGGACAGTATGGTGGTGAAGATAATAATAAAAAAGATTATAGTCAATTTGAACAGAGATTAGATTATATAATCAGATTTGAGAGAAAGTGAGATGATGATATTGAAAAAAGAACAATATGAATAATATTTGAAAAAGGAGATGAAGAGAAATTCTGTAAAATGCATTGGGATGTAATATATAGAAGTGGAGAAAATATGATAGAAGAAGTTATAGAAAAATCTAAAAAAATAAATCAGAGAATTGATGAACAAGAGATTGTTATTGGTGATACTGTTTATTGGTGCCAAGATTTCTCTGAATATAAAAAGAAATATTTACAGAATTATCCGAATATAAATAAATTATTTATATATTATAAAACTAATAAAAGAACCAATAAAAATCCAGAAGAAGATTCCAATAAAAAATCAAAAATAGATTGATTTTTTATTTAAATAAGAAGTACATTTTACATTTTGATTAATTAAAATAATAAATAAATAAAATAAATATCAATTATTAAAAATTATTGTAATTTACTCATTATTACTACTAAAACTAGAAACATTATCTTGAAAAGCTTTATCAATTTCTAGTATTAATTTATTGTATTCATCATTATCATCATCTGTAATAGAATTATAGCCACTATCTTCACTCATTTCTTCATAGTTAATATAAGTTTCAAATTGAGTATTATAAATATTATTATTTCTTAAATCAGGTGTAATATAATACAATTTATTTGAAAAATCATTAACAACTACTAAAGGGTTATTATTATAATAATAATATTCATTGGCCGCATTAAAACTCTGCCCAAAAAAATCTCTATAAAACTGCATTTTAAATTTATACTGTCTTACAGTATGTTCAAGTAATTCATTTTTTTCTTTAATTATTTCCTAAAGACAATAAATCGATTAATATGCAGCTTTTTCTACTTCCAAAAGTTTTCTTTCAAAATTATAAATTTCAGATTCATATTGTTTATTTTCTTCACTTCGTTTTCTTCTTTCTTTACATAAGTTAAATTAAACATCGTATAATTCTTCATTTAAAGATAAATTAGATATTCTTTCTTTAATTGTTTGTTTATAAGGGTATAGTTCTTTACCAGTTTGTTGTATGAAAATTAAGTCGTTGAACATGGAGAAATTGAAATAAAGTTTCTCATTTAAATAAAAAATTAATCTATTTTCAATTTTTTATTGGAATCTTCTTCTAGATTTTCATTGGTTCTCTTATTGGTTTTACAATATATAAATAATTTATTTATATTCAAATAATTTTGTAAATATTTCTTTTAGATACAATTGGTTAAATTAAATACTTAGTTTTTTTCAAAAGATACTTAGAATAATTAAATATAATTGGTTAAATTAAATACTCAGTTTTTTCCAAAAGATACTTAGAATAATTAGATATAATTGGTTAAATTAAATACTCAATTTTTTCCAAAAAATACTTAGAATAATTAGACATAATTGGTTAAATTAAATACTTAGTTTTTTCCAAAACGTACTCAGTTTTTTCCAAAAAATACTTAGAATAATTAGATATAATTGGTTAAATTAAATACTCAGTTTTTTCCAAAACATACTCAGTTTTTTCCAAAAGATACTTAGAATAATTAGATACAATCTTAGGACAAGTAAATATTTTGCATATCGATTTTTTGAATAAGGAAATAGTTTTTTGAATTTTAGAATAAATAAATATTTTGCATATTAATTTTATGAATAAGGAAATAGTCTTTGAATCTTAAAATAAGTAAATATTTTGTATATTGATTTTATAAATAAAAATCTTTGAATTTTAGAACAAGTAAATATTTGTATATCGATTTTATAAATAAGAATCTTTGAATCTTAGAACAAGTAAATATTTGTATATTGATTTTATGAATAAGAATCTTTAAATTTTAGAACAAGTAAATATTTGGTATATTGATTTTATGAATAAGAATCTTCGAATTTTATTTTATAAATAAAAAAAATTTATAAATAATAAATTTTTTTTACAAAACAGAAAAAAAACTTTAAAATTAATTTTGATTTTTTTAACAAATTATTTACAATGAGAAATACTCATGAAATTCATAATTATTTTTATGCTAATACTCTTAAAACATGTCTTATTTGCAATCTTTGTGATAATAATTATCCTTCTAATACTAATTTAACAAATTTAAAAAATCATTTTGCTAAATATCATGTAAATGAATATCGTTTAGCAATGTCAAAAAATGATGAAAGAAAAAATTACATTAAAAAAATTAATAAAATTCAATGAAAACAAAATTCCAATAATTTAATAACACAAAATAATGAAACTTCAATTATTCAAATACCAAAATCTGTTCAAATTGATGATTTTAACGAAGATAATTATTCACCGGAAAAAGAAATTGTAGAAGTTATTGAAAGTGGTCAAGCTTTACCACCACTTGTTCAAAATCAAAATAAACGAAAAATAATTATTGAAGAGAAATAGTAAAAAACAAAAAATTAATATTATAACTTTAGATAATAAGAATAGTATTCTTAATTTAAATATACATGAAATTAGTTTACATATCATAGGAAAATGTACTTTAAATTTTGTTTAATTTATTTGTATTTATTTTTATTTAATTTATTTGTATTTGTTTTTATCTTAAATAAAATATATTTAACTATTTAATTTTTAATAAAAAAATGCCACAGTGTTGTCTTTATCATTTATGAAAAAAGTATTTTTTTATTTTTTATTTATTTATTTTTTTTTTTAAGTTTTTTTTTAAAATTTTTTTTTAAGTTATCTTTTTTTTATCTTTCTTTTTAAACTAGTTTTTTTGAGCTTAGTATTTATTTTTTTTTATATGTTTTGTTGCCTGTAACAAAATATTTTACTAAGAATTTAATAGAAGTTGTTCTAAGAAACTAGAATTTTTTTGAGCCAAAAAACAACTTTCATTATTTACTCAAAGTTGATTTATTTAATAAAATTTTGCACAAAATGCATTTTTTAAGTCTGACAGCTTTTTTTTTTAACTTTCTTTCTTTCTTTACATATGTTTTGGAACATATTTGGGTTGTAGAAAAAATTTTACTATGTAAACAACAAAAGTCATTATAGGAAACTAGAATTTTTTTGAGCCAAAGAACAACTTTTATTATTCACCCAAGGTTGATTTCATTAATAAAATTTTGCACAAATTGTATTTTTTTTTACATCCGATGGCTTTTTCTTTAACTTTCTTTCTCTCTTTATATACGTTTTGGAACATATTTGGGTTGTAGAAAAAAATTTTACTATGTAAACAACAAAAGTCATTTTAGGAAACTAGCATTTTTTTGAGCCAAAAAACAACTTTTATTATTTACCTAAGGTTTAATTTCATTAATAAAAATTTGCACAAATTGTATTTTTTTACATCTGACGACTTTTTCTTTAACTTTCTTTCTCTCTTTATATATGTTTTGGAAAATATTTGGGTTGTAGCAAAAAATTTTACTATGTAAACAACAAAAGTCATTATAGAAAACTAGAATTTTTTTGAGCTAAAGAACAACTTTTATTATTTACCCAAGGTTAATTTTATTAATAAACTTTTGAGCAAACACATTTTTTAATCTAATAGCTTTTTTTTAACTTTAGTTTTTTTGCAAATG